AATGTATTAAATTATCATATAAATAGTTTTTCTTAAGCACTTGTTCGACATTTTCATGAAGTGTTGCAAAAAATATCACCACTTAAATAAAATTGGATTATAAGGCCTAATGGTTAGTTTGGCTTTAAGTGAACGAAAGAAATTGTAAATGTCCTTGTAATACATACAACAAAGTCTACACCTTATGGCTATATTTTTACAAGAAGGATTTAGGAGAGATTTTGTTTAATCTGAGGACCTGAAACGCCTATTTAATGTCTTCAAAGTCTGAAAAACAGTGAAATTTTAAAAATATAAATTAAACACTACAGAAAATTTTTTAAACATATTTTTTAAGGAAGGCTATACAAGAACATTATAGAATGTTCTTGAAAAATATTATTAAAAATTTTTCTAGGGCTATGATAGAATATGATTTTTTTGGGGCTTCTTAGAACCTTAAATATTAGACATATTTTTTGGACATTCTTACGCATGGATATTTCAAAGTATTTTTAAGAAAGCGTGGATTTTAAATAAATTCCAGGGATTTTTTTTATTATCGGGGCTTTGCACAGAATATTTTTAATATATATTTTTGGAAGAATGTTGATTTTGTCAAAATTTTTTTTCAATGATTTTAAATTCCGAAGACACCTATAAATATGTTTGAGGGTCTCTACTATACGTGTATTTTTTAGGGTCTTTCATAGGCAAGAATTTTTAAATTTTTATCTGCGTGAATTTTTGGAAGACTATTTTTATACCCTTCACCACACTGTGGTACAGGGTATTATGTCTTTGTGCATATGTTTGTAACAATCACAAGGAAACGAGATAGACACATGGGAAACGAGATAGACATATGAATAGAATCACTTTTTAAGTTGATTTATGCATGTCCGTCCGTCCGTCTGTCCATGTTGAATTGTAAGCAAAGTACAGGTCGCATTTTTAATTCGAATTGGATGAAATTTGGAACAGCTCATTTATTTGGCACAAGGAGGAACCCTATTGAAATTGAAGAAAATCGGGTCAAATCTAGCTCCCATATATATTTTCGTCCGATTTAAGGTAAATGGGGCACCAATGTCACTATATATCTTTCGATTTGCACGAAATTTGGCATACGGCACTGAATTAGGTCCAGAATGATGTGTGCTAAGTTTCATGAAAATCCGATTTTATGTGATTGGTGCCGCGAAGTCCTTATATAACTTTCGATTTGCACGAAATTTTGTATAATGTACTGAATTATAGCTCACATATATAGTTTCGTCCGATTTTATGTAAATAGTGCCCTATATATCTTTCGATTTGCACGAAATTCGGCATAGGCTACTAAATTAAGCCGAGAATGATTTGTACAAAGATTCGTGAAAATCGATCCAGATAATGATATAGCTCCCATATATATTTTCGTCCGACTTTATGTAAATGGTGCACCAAAGTCCCAATATATCTTTCGATTTGCACGAAATTTTGCATAGGGTACTGAATTAAGCCGAGAATGATGTGTGTCAAGTTTCAAAAAAATCGGGTCAGATTAACATGTACCTCCCATATATATTATCGTCCGATTTAAGGTAAATGGGACACCAATATCGTTATATATCTATCGATTTGCACAACATTTGGCATAGGGTTCTGAATTAGGTCCAGAATGATGTGTGCTAAGTTGTGTAAAAATCGGTTCAGATTGAGATATAGCTCCCGTATATAATTTCGTCCGATTTTATGTAAATGGTGCCGCGAAGTCCCTATATAACTTTTCATTTGAACGAAATACTGAATTGAGTCTTGAATGACGTGTGTTGAGTTTCGAAGAATCGGTTCTAATTTAGATATAGCTCCCATATATTTTTTCGTCCTATATAATGTAAATTGATTGACATAACGTACTGAAATTAGTATTCCTTCGAAAATGCGACGTCTGTTAGGATACAGATGTAGAATACACCCAAAGTGGTGAAGGGTATCATATAGTCGGCCCAGTCCGACTTTACTACTTTCCTTACTGGTTAGAGTCTCTATTAGGCGTGGATTTTAAAGCATTTTTTTCTATGGCCTCCAATATACGTGAATGTTTAAAGAATATGTTTATGGGGTCTCTAATAGGCGTGGATTTTAAAAGAATATTTTTATGTGGCCTCTAATAGGCGTGGATTTTAAAAGAATATTTTTATGTGGCCTCTAATAGGCGTGGATTTTAAAAGAATATTTTTATGTGGCCTCTAATAGGCGTGGATTTTAAAAGAATATTTTTATGTGGCCTCTAATAGGCGTGGATTTTAAAAGAATATTTTTATGTGGCCTCTAATAGGCGTGGATTTTAAAAGAATATTTTTATGTGGCCTCTAATAGGCGTGGATTTTAAAAGAATATTTTTATGTGGCCTCTAATAGGCGTGGATTTTAAAAGAATATTTTTATGTGGCCTCTAATAGGCGTGGATTTTAAAAGAATATTTTTATGTGGCCTCTAATAGGCGTGGATTTTAAAAGAATATTTTTATGTGGCCTCTAATAGGCGTGGATTTTAAAAGAATATTTTTATGTGGCCTCTAATAGGCGTGGATTTTAAAAGAATATTTTTATTTGGATTTTAAAAGAATATTTTTATGTGGCCTCTAATAGGCGTGGATTTTAAAAGAATATTTTTATGTGGCCTCTAATAGGCGTGGATTTTAAAAGAATATTTTTATGTGGCCTCTAATAGGCGTGGATTTTAAAAGAATATTTTTATGTGGCCTCTAATAGGCGTGGATTTTAAAAGAATATTTTTATGTGGCCTCTAATAGGCGTGGATTTTAAAAGAATATTTTTATGTGGCCTCTAATAGGCGTGGATTTTAAAAGAATATTTTTATGTGGCCTCTAATAGGCGTGGATTTTAAAAGAATATTTTTATGTGGCCTCTAATAGGCGTGGATTTTAAAAGAATATTTTTATGTGGCCTCTAATAGGCGTGGATTTTAAAAGAATATTTTTATGTGGCCTCTAATAGGCGTGGATTTTAAAAGAATATTTTTATGTACACGGACGTCGGAAAAGAAACCCCGGCTGAACATAATGATTGGTGGATAGCAGAATCAGACTACAGCTACTCTTTCAAATCTCCTGTGCATGCCACCGATATTTGTGATCAGCTGAAAAGTAGGCAACAGGTCCTCAAGACACTGATCGTCAAATATTTTGTGGACTTCTTATAAAGCAAAAGGTCAGTCAGTGATTAGTTATGCGGCGCTAGTGTTGTTTTTTTGAAGTGGTAAGTGATACGCAGTGGAATAATATTTAGACCTGTCAGCATGCCGAGCTATGAACTGCAACCGCGTGTGCAGCACCGATCTTTATGATCTAGAGAGACCTAAAATCACAAGCTTGAACCTTTAGATCTACTGGCCTATCAGCCTAGAATAGCATTCATACAGATGCAGTTGCCCAGGTTTTAGAACAATACCGAACGAAGCTATACTCGGACCATGTACCCTGCATAACAGCAGAGAAGAAGTAGCTGCATAGCTATGATCAGGATGGTGCAGAACCTTAATTCCTACTGGGCATGAATTGATGGAGCGACATCAAATACATGTCCCGCATATGGATTAGGACCACACGACACGATGCACTTAATAAACTGTCCATGCAAGCCTGGCTAATTCTGTGTGAATGGGTGTGTTATTGTTGTTCAATGTTGTCTGCTGCTGGTGCGAACCGTCCGTATGGATTGGAAACGACCTTTGGTTGATCATTTTCGGGTGTTTGGTCGGACGGGCTGGATACTCGTGAGGGTGTCTGATCACTGTTTTGAATGTGTGTTCCTACGGACCTGATATCCCAGTGGTTACGGTCACTGTCCTGTTAGGATTTGTGGACTCTTGGGAAGAGGTGTTGTGTTGGTTGTTTGGTCGCTTATGTCTGGGTGCTAGTCCGTTCTTTTTCGGGTGCCTGCTCCGACGAGCTGGATACTCGTGAGGGTGTCTATCACTTCCTTGAATATGCCCGAGTGGTTACGGTCACTGTCCTGTGTTGATTCGTTGTCCTGTATGGGTGTGTGGACTGTTGGGAAGAAGAGTCGCGATGGCTGTTTCATCTCCGATGTCTGGATGCTGGTGCCGAACATGTAGGATGTGTTGGATAAGGTCCTTGTCTGTTCTTTTTTACGGGTACCTGGTCCGACGAGCTGGATACTCGTGAAGGTGTCTAGCACTGTCCTGAGTATTGGATCCGACGGGCGGAATGAGCCAGTGGTTACGATAACTGTCCTGTGTTGATTCGTTGTGTGGGCTGTTGGGAGGCTGTGTTGTTGGATGTGTGTGGTGCGAAATGCTCGTGGGGACATTCTTGTGTTTGTCTGTGCCTTTGGGTTTACTAGTCCCGGCCTTGTGGTATGATCGTTGGGTGGAGATAAAGAGGTTGGTCTGTGGAGGGTCATTTCCGAATTAGCAGGCTTGTGAAACAACTGCTTGGAGACTTTTGCTTTTTATACCTTTTAGCGATAATTCCATTTTACACCACCGCAATGTAGGTATCCACGTACTCTAAGTATCTCCGTATCTGAATTCTCTATGAAAGCCGTACATGCAGGTTGCATATTTGTTGTATTTTGACACAGGTGAACTAGAAACAGACAATACATCTTGAGGAAGAACAATTAGAGTTTCATCGAACTTCAGCCGATTCTATCCCATTTCCTACAACGCCTTTGCATCGGTGCAATATTTATGGAGTTGGTCATTCATTAGAATTGATCAGCACGAAAAGCTTCATTTGATTTCTTACCGGGTTTCGGTTGCTACTTTTTTATGCCATCCATCATAAGTTGAGGTGTATATTATATATTTGTCATATCTCCCAAAAGGAGCATCCCTACCGATTTAAGTTATTTTAATGTTCAACGCATGTCAAAAATTTATAATCATTTCGGCCTCGCAGCTTAGTTTTTTCATAATACCTATTTATCTAAAAATATGATTTCTATTCATTTAATATTGTATTTATTTCCTTTTCTCTCTCTCTTCTAGTTTATGCCTTCGCGAATATTGCATTGAAGTTTTGCGCTCAGCCTATAACACCCTGGTGCGGCAGGTGCGACGTGTATTGGAACGCAACTCGGGCAGCACAGGCCATGATGATTCGTATTTGTTGTGGGCCATACGATTCTTTATGGAATTTAATCGCCTAAGTGATATGAAATTGGAACTTGTCAGGTAAGTAATCAAACAAAAACTAAAAAAAAAACGAACGATTTTTTCCTATCTCTTTCTTCTTCCTCCGTTGTTGCTTTGCTTTCCCAGCATTATTATTGTTTACAATAACTTTTGCATTGAATTGCATATTCTATTTCTCAGCGGAATTCTACGTTACATTGCTATTTTTTTCCTAGCATCCATCAGGAAGTTATTTTTCTTGTGCTGCTTCCTGAAAAGGTGGTAATATTCTTAGAGGAGGTAGTATGGCGGAGAGAAAGAAAAGTCGCCGAACTTTCTTTTTAATAACACATAGAGACCAGGAAGAGAGAACCAAACACCTCTTTCGTGAATTACAAGTTTTTTCCTTAATAGTTATGTTCCGCTAGTTCTTCACTTCCCGTATTATTTGCTTCTTATTCTTCTGTTTTTACTTCGGTGCTCCTTGTTTGACTTTTTTTAAGTTTTTTTTTTCTTCGAAATTTTGTTTTTCCACCATCAGTCTTTTCCCCTAGAGTTGCAAAGTTTTTTTTTCTTTGATTATTAGGAACGCGCACTTCCATTTCGTTGGAATTTTCTGTTGTTGGAAGTTAGAAGCTGATGCTTCTGCTGATGTTGTTGCAACAAATTAAATTTAGCATAGTTTGTATTTGTGCAGGGCAAAATTCCTCAGTGCCTGTAATCACGGAAAGTACATAGCATACTATATTTTTGTGGCCATATTTTGTGCCACTTTGCATCCTCACTGATTTTTTCCTTATGTATTTTTCATTTCCTTATTCGTAGAAGTCATTAAAAACGCAAACGGCATAAAATATAAGGTATTACTTACAATATTTGAGTTTAAATGTTTAATTTAACATTAATGCAGTTCGAAGGGGAGTTTATAGAGCGTATGAGTTATGACAATACATATACACAACATGTTACGGAATATTTTATGTAGACGATTAGCAGTTCTTAATTAAAATATAATCTTTAAGAATATTGTTTTTTCATAGGGAATATGGTCCTTCAAAAAATATTCTTTAAAAAATCCACACATTGTTTTGGTCAGTTGGAAAAATATTCTTTAACAAATCCACGCGTTGTTTTGGTCCTTTGAAAAAATATTCTTTAAAAAATCCACGCATTGTTTTGGTCCTTTGAAAACATTTTTTTTAACAAATCCACGCGTTGTTTTGGTCCTTTGAAAAAATATTCTTTAAAAAATCCACGCCTCTTTTGGTCCTCTGAAAAAATATTCTTTAAAAAATCTTTTGGTCCTCTGAAAAAATATTCTTTAAAAAATCCACGCCTCTTTTGGTCCTCTGAAAAAATATTCTTTAAAAAATCCACGCCTCTTTTGGTCCTCTGAAAAAATATTCTTTAAAAAATCCACGCCTCTTTTGGTCCTCTGAAAAAATATTCTTTAAAAAATCCACGCCTCTTTTGGTCCTCTGAAAAAATATTCTTTAAAAAATCCACGCCTCTTTTGGTCCTCTGAAAAAATATTCTTTAAAAAATCCACGCCTCTTTTGGTCCTCTGAAAAAATATTCTTTAAAAAATCCACGCCTCTTTTGGTCCTCTGAAAAAATATTCTTTAAAAAATCCACGCCTCTTTTGGTCCTCTGAAAAAATATTCTTTAAAAAATCCACGCCTCTTTTGGTCCTCTGAAAAAATATTCTTTAAAAAATCCACGCCTCTTTTGGTCCTCTGAAAAAATATTCTTTAAAAAATCCACGCCTCTTTTGGTCCTCTGAAAAAATATTCTTTAAAAAATCCACGCCTCTGAAAAAATATTCTTTAAAAAATCCACGCCTCTGAAAAAATATTCTTTAAAAAATCCACGCCTCTTTTGGTCCTCTGAAAAAATATTCTTTAAAAAATCCACGCCTCTTTTGGTCCTCTGAAAAAATATTCTTTAAAAAATCCACGCCTCTTTTGGTCCTCTGAAAAAATATTCTTTAAAAAATCCACGCCTCTTTTGGTCCTCTTAAAAAATATTCTTTAAAAAATCCACGCCTCTTTTGGTCCTCTGAAAAAATATTCTTTAAAAAATCCACGCCTCTTTTGGTCCTCTGAAAAAATATTCTTTAAAAAATCCACGCCTCTTAAAAATTTGGTCCTCTGAAAAAATATTCTTTAAAAAATCCACGCCTCTTTTGGTCCTCTGAAAAAATATTCTTTAAAAAATCCACGCCTCTTTTGGTCCTCTGAAAAAATATTCTTTAAAAAATCCACGCCTCTTTTGGAAAAAATATTCTTTAAAAAATCCTCTGAAAAAATATTCTTTAAAAAATCCACGCCTCTTTTGGTCCTCTGAAAAAATATTCTTTAAAAAATCCACGCCTCTTTTGGTCCTCTGAAAAAATATTCTTTAAAAAATCCACGCCTCTTTTGGTCCTCTGAAAAAATATTCTTTAAAAAATCCACGCCTCTTTTGGTCCTCTGAAAAAATATTCTTTAAAAAATCCACGCCTCTTTTGGTCCTCTGAAAAAATATTCTTTAAAAAATCCACGCCTCTTTTGGTCCTCTGAAAAAATATTCTTTAAAAAATCCACGCCTCTTTTGGTCCTCTGAAAAAATATTCTTTAAAAAATCCACGCCTCTTTTGGTCCTCTGAAAAAATATTCTTTAAAAAATCCACGCCTCTTTTGGTCCTCTGAAAAAATATTCTTTAAAAAATCCACGCCTCTTTTGGTCCTCTGAAAAAATATTCTTTAAAAAATCCACGCCTCTTTTGGTCCTCTGAAAAAATATTCTTTAAAAAATCCACGCCTCTTTTGGTCCTCTGAAAAAATATTCTTTAAAAAATCCACGCCTCTTTTGGTCCTCTGAAAAAATATTCTTTAAAAAATCCACGCCTCTTTTGGTCCTCTGAAAAAATATTCTTTAAAAAATCCACGCCTCTTTTGGTCCTCTGAAAAAATATTCTTTAAAAAATCCACGCCTCTTTTGGTCCTCTGAAAAAATATTCTTTAAAAAATCCACGCCTCTTTTGGTCCTCTGAAAAAATATTCTTTAAAAAATCCACGCCTCTTTTGGTCCTCTGAAAAAATATTCTTTAAAAAATCCACGCCTCTTTTGGTCCTCTGAAAAAATATTCTTTAAAAAATCCACGCCTCTTTTGGTTCTCTGAAAAAATATTCTTTAAAAAATCCACACCTCCTTTGGTCCTTTGAAAAAATATTCTTTAAAAAATCCACGCCTTGTGTTGGTCCTTTGAAAAAATATTGATTAAAAAATCCACGCCTCTTTTGGCCTCTGAAAAAATATTCTTTAAAAAATCCACGCCTCTTTTGGTCCTTCAGAAAATATTCTTTAATAAATGAACACCTCTTCTGGGTATTGATATATTTTTAGGGATCTGCAATTGTTCCACATTGTTGCTATCCTGAATTTCTGTAGCTTATATTTTCTTAGTTTTCCAAGTTTAATTCATAGAATATTTTCATAGTCATTTGTCACTCGAAGAGCACAGCATTTTCGGTCATCTATTCAATTTGCTTTTTTATACAATTTGTATTCAAAACTATCAATTTATTCGTAAGGCGCCAATCGTTGCCGGCTTCATAGATGGTGAGCAGAGTTAAGAAATGAAAATCACAACAGAAAATGAATACTACCCCCAACCATTCTTGGATAAGATGGCAAGTACATAAATAGGTTTGGAGTACCCACTGCAACTTACATCCCACCAAAATTTTATAGGGCAGGACACAGACTTTTATTTGCAGGACACATTCTATTCGTCCTCGCCCCTTCGTAATTTTGTTGCAACTTCCTTTCTTGGGTATTTGTTGTGGTATTTGTTATTGTTCACTTAATTTTTTAGAGGTTTTTGTTTAACTTTCAAATTCTTCAACTACTACTACTCTGTCATTCGCACTCATACCAACCCACGCAGGCACTTTTATTGCACTTCCCATTTCCTTCCCATTGTCTTCGGCAGTTGATATTTAAACAATATCACCCTCCCTCCACTGCACTTCCGCACAAAGTTTTCATTGTTAAGTTGCGAAATAAACTAAAATTGGCAAATTTTATTACTTGAATAAATACATTTTCTGGGATTTACTTACGCAGATTGATGGGATAAGAAACACTTGAGAAAATAAAACTGATTGACAGACAATGTTGGTGAAGTTCTCTCTCCGGTTGTTGTCGGAAGAGCTGAGAAAAAAATCCTCAATGAATATTAAGTGCGAAAGATTGCAATATTGTTATTGTTTGTGTTGCAACATTTTATTTCAAATGCCTGAATTAACACTTTTTTGGGAAAACTATGGAGACATCCTTAAAATTAAAAGGAGCATTTAATTATTTAGTTGTGTGGTGGTAAATGTGTGGATTTTTTTAAATTTTATTTTTCAAGAACCAAACCAAAGGACCAACACAGGGTGTGAATTTTTTAAAGAATATTTTCTGAAGGTCCGACACTAGGCGTGGATTTTTAATGAATATTTTCAGAATGATGAATATTTTTAAATAATATTTTTTCAAGGACGTTTTAAAGAAGAACTATACAAGGCGTGGTTTTTTTAAAGGATATTTTTTCAAATACTATATAAGGCGTGGATTTTTTAAAGAATATTTTTTCAAAGACTTTATAAGGCGTGGATTTTTTAAGAATATTTTTTCAAAGACTATATAAGGCGTGGATTTTTTAAGAATATTTTTTCAAAGACTATATAAGGCGTGGATTTATTTAAGAATATTTTTCAAGGGCCAACTGAGGGGTGGATTTTTTTAAGAATATTTTTCAAAGACTATATAAGGCGTGGTTTTTTTAAGAATATTTTTTCAAAGACGCAAAGTTTTTAAAGAATATTTTTTCAAGTTCTATCAAAAATTTTTTAAGAATATTTTTTCAAAGACTATATAAGGCGTGGATTTTTTTAAGAATATTTTTTCAAAGACTATATAAGGCGTGGATTTTTTTAAGAATATTTTTTCAAAGAAAGAATAAGAAGAAAGCAAAGTTTTTAAAGAATATTTTTTCAAAGACGCAAAGTTTTTAAAGAATATTTTTTCAA